TCCTTTGACTACGATGACCTGGTTGACTGAGAACCTTCACAGACTTCTATTGACCTTCTATACTCCAGTTGATTTTTTTTTATAATCTTCCGGATTCATGATAATTCCAAAAGAAAGGGAAAAGCTGCTGTAAAGTGTCAATTATAAATTTATTTTAAATATAGCAAATAGCTCTTTCCAATTATATGACCAAGATTTCTAATTTATATTTTCATCATCTTTCTCCTCTTCTTCATCTGCCTCCTCAACCACTGGTTTCTCTCCTGCCTCATATCCTGAACTAAAGACAGGCCGTTAACATACAAAATACTGCCTATTTATTCCCATATTGTTACAACTACTTATCGTTAATAGATTAGACAAATTAACATCAATGTTCCATTTAAGTGTACGAAAAAAATAACACTTTCCCTTTGATTAGATTCTCACATTGTCTGAGAGTTCTTTCATAAAAGCCCCTTTTACATTAGTACACAGCAAAATCTCCAGTGTTAAATTAACACTGGAGAGTGTCTATATGGGTCCACACCTCTGAGTGTTAAATACAACACTGTTGAGTGTTAAAGTAACACTTTTGACAGTGTTGTATGTTTAAAACTAACCTAGTCAGTTTTGAAGATTAACAATGGCTAACACTGAGCAGTGCTGGTTTTCTAACACTGGAAAATAACTCAATGTTAGAAATATTCCAGTGTAAGCATGTCCTTCTTCTTTTTTTATTTTGAAACTTTATATTTTGATTTATTCTTTGGATTTCGTTAAACTCTTATGTTGTGGAAACATCTTGAGTGACCCATAATTTCTATATATTTGTCATAAGAGAGGCCAGACTTTCACCTAGTTTTTCTTTTTTAAGTGCTCTGAAGGCTTTATGAAGTTGTTCTTTGGACATTGGCTGCCTTTTAAATTATTTTCTCTCCTTTCCTCATATCTTAGAGGAACTTTTTGGAACCAGGGACATTTACAATAGCCCTATGTTCCTCCCCCTTCTCCTTTGGTCAGGTTAAACCCTGCCACATCCACAAAGATAATTTCATGGGTTAACAGACCGTCCTTGAATCGCAAAGATTCTCTGCAAAACACATAACACAGTAGAGTAAATCGCTACCCTGAATCACAGTTCAAGGGTGCACAAATGGCAGCATAAACTGCAATGCTGTGATGGAACACAGTACTTCATACAATATCAAAACTCATACCTTAACGTATTTCACTCATTGGTTTTTTACTCTGTCAGAGTTTCATTTAAAAGAGGTGCGGCATACCTGTTTAATCTGGAATTGGTTCTTTCAGAGGATGTGGTCAATTGTGAAGAGACTGATGGCATTTATCCCTCGAAAATGATGATCATCCTCGATCACTCTCCTTTGATTCTCTTGCAGGCGGATTACATTATTGGCAGTTACCATGTTTACAAGTTCCCTCTCTTGCTGCTTCGACAAAACCCATAACCTGCCTCCACCAGGTGGCCGTTTCTGTGTCCTACAAAAATAGAAGCGCTCATTACTGTAACTGTCAAACATCCTTTTTACACGAAAAAAAAAAAGAAACATACTGAAAATCAAGAAAGGCAAGGCAAGGCAAGTTTATTTGTATAGCACAATTCAACAACAAGGTGATTCAAAGTGCTTTACAGAGACATTAGAAACAAGAACAAATAAAAAGCATGATTTAAAATTGATTAAAACAAGCAAATAAACTAACTAACTAATTAACAAACAAACAAACAAACAAACAAAACAGTATATAAAATCAAAACAGATAAAATCAGAACAGTAGATAAAATCAGTAGTTAATGTAAGTTTTGAAATTTAAGCTTAAATTTAAGCTCAAGAAACTTGAGATCAGTAACCAAAAGTTACTGTACACAGCAGTCTTACTGCAAGTACACCTACCTGTTTTTCTCCCTGAAGGTTCTGATGATGGGGGCGACTCAAATTTGTCTGTACTTGCTGCCCATGCTCCTTCATAGTCATACCAGGGACAAGGACATGCTCAACTAAAGTGGTTCGAATTTCATCCGACCCCTTCTGCTCCCCCGCCCCTTCTAAAGTTGTGACGTGCCATTTCCTCTCCAGCTTAGTTATCTGCTTTAGGCTACATGTTTGAGAATTATACCACGGAGTCAGGTACTTCTGATTTGAGGCCTTAGTTTTCACAGGAGCTACAGTATCCACATTAAATGCTGTGTTGAGGCTGTCATTTTTAGCATCTACATGGATGTTAAAATCACCCACAATAATTATTTTATCTGAGCTCAGAACTAAATTAGATATAAAGTCTGAGAAATCAGACAGAAACTCTGTGTAAGGCCAAGGTGGACGATAGATGATAACAAGTAAGACTGGTTTCTGAGTTTCACAGCTGGGGTGGACAATGTTAAGCATCAGGCTTTCAAATGAATTAAAAGTCTGTCTTGGTCTTTCATTAATTAATAGGCTGGTGTGAAAAATTGCTGCCACACCTCCCCTCGGCCTGTGCTTCGAGATTTCTGGTAGTTAGAATGACTCGGGGGTGTTGATTCGTTTAAACTATCCAGAGTTGGGACCAGGAAGCAGAGTTGCAGTCTTACACGCCTCTCTGCAGCTTCTCTCCTCCTGCTACCCCCCCAAAAACCCATCTCCATAGAGACTGTGTCAGCTCCCAAACAGACAAAAAACAAACTAAAAACCAGCAACAAACAACTTAAACATAAACAATTACAAAGAAAGAACAATACAGCATCCACATCTGAACCAAAGAGTAAAACAGTGAAATGTGGATTATTAAATATTAGGTCTCTCTCCTCCAAGTCTCTGTTAGTACATGACTTAATAATTGATCAACAAATTGATTTACTCTGCCTTACAGAAACCTGGTTGCAGCAGGATGATTATGTTAGTCATATTTTGGGGGGTTTAATAAATTTGTCCATATTTCTAGAAATGAGAGCAGAGGTCAGAGCCCATAATGAGGACCACCCATGCAGATGAGAGAGAGCGCACACAAAACAACACATTTTGCCCAGCATGGGGCCAGCCGGTGAGACATGGGGTCAATTACACCTGGAAGACAATTGACTATGGTTGCCGGTGTCTCTAGCTTCACATGTCTGAGAACAGAATCACCAATTACCAGAGTTTGACCCCCGGCGGGTGTGTCGCCGAGTGGGGAAAAACGGTTAGACACATGAACGGGTTGGTGGTGTACCTGGGGCTTCTGTTTAGGACTATGCTTCCTCCTCACCATCACCCAGCCATCCTCTTTCCCCAGCTGCTTGGGGCCTGCCAGAGGACAGCTAGCAGGGCCTACGCTATCTTCAGCTGCACCGGTTACAGGGGCCTGGCTAGTTACGGGTATATCAAGGGTGCAAAGCCAAGTCTCCATTTCTGTAATCCTGGCCTCCAGCGCTGCAAATATACTACATTTGTTACAGATATCATTACTGCTAAAGGAGGCCGAGGAGTAACTAAACATCTGACACAATGAGCAAGAAAGTGCAGGAGGGACAGGTGAAGTAGCCATGGTGCTAATGAGTCGGCTACGAGCTAAGCTAAGCGAGCGAAACAATAAAGACCCAGTGAGTGAATACCATCCATTCACTTCCGCTTATCCTTTTCAGGGTCACGGGGGGCGCTGGAGCCTATCCCAGCTGTCATAGGGCGAGAGGCAGGGTACACCCTGGACAGGTCGCCAGTCTGTTGCAGGGCTAATACATAGGGACAGAAAACCATTCGCACTCACATTCACTCCCGCATTCACACCTGTGGGCAATTTACACTTTTCAGTTAACCTATCCCCACAACGTGCATGTCTTTAGACGGTGGGGGGAAGCCGGAGTACCCTGGGAGAACCCACGCAAACAGGGGGAGAACATGCAAACTCCACACAGAAAGGCCCTGGCCTGATGGTGGAATTGAACTCAGGACCTTCTTGCCTTGAGGCAACAATGCTAACCACCGTGCGTGAGTGAATACTTTGGCTATAAATTAGGTAGTGAGTACACAGAAAGTGTGCTTTGGATGAAGCACGTGAAGATTAAACTATGAAAAAAGAATGTATCTAAAGGTTTTTAATTACATTGCTAAGCAGATAAGTTACTCAAAATCACCACTGTATTTGAGCAGGAACAGGAAGTGATGCTCTACCGCAAAGAGAGCGAACACCAAGTGATAACTCATGATTATCTAAGACCTGCCATCAAATGTCCACCATTTCTTGACAATCGTTTGTGTCAGCTGTTCTTTAGTTGGCATAAAATGGGATGGAACTTTATTAGTTAATCAAAAATATCTCAAAGAGGTAAATGGACTGGTTCTCATAAAGGATTTTTCTTCTAGAACACTTAAAGCTCTTTATACAGCCTTCACACAAGCACTTTTTCTTCTGTGCCTTAGTGCTATCTAACATTGTGATGGATGCATCGGAGAGCAACTTGAGGTTGCCCAAGGATATTTGGTTTGCAGACTGGAGCAGTCAGGGATCAAACAACCAACCTTTTGATTAGTTGATGACCTGCTCTACTTCCTGATATACAACCACCCCCTTTATTCACGATTTGACAGTAGAAGGAGACAAACACTTTAACAGGACTGTAATTTAAAATATTTTTATTTTTTATTTATTCCGATAACCTAAAGTTCAGGCATGTTTTCACTTTTGCAGACTTTAGACTGGTTGTTGTAGGCAAGACTGGAGCTGGGAAAAGCTCCAGTGGAAACACCATACTGGGAAGAGATGCCTTTGGAGCAGCAGTCAGTCAGTCCTCAGGTAATACATTAATTAATTATTTTATCCAGTCACCTTTGCTGATAAGTCAACTTGACTTATCAGCAAAGGTAAAGCCAATATGAACAACAAAGAACTACACACAGAATAACTGCCCAATCTCAGTTAGGCAGAATAAAAGTGGGAGCTAAGAAACCTACAATGTAAAGATTTGATTTGCTATTTAAACACAAAGACAGAACACAGCCCAGGGTCAGGAGTGACAAAATTAATTAAATAAATTAAGTAATTAATTAAATGTGGCAATAATTAGTTAAAATGTGAAATAAATACCTTCACAAGAGAAACTCCAGACCTTTAAAACAAAGATAAAACCTGTGTGTTAACAAATCTCCACTGCTCTGGTTTTCCAGGCTAGCTTCCTAAAAGCACAAACAGTCACAGCTGCTGCTGAACATTGGCCGGATATCAGACTGTATAATCAGCTCATCACTCTCTGTTTTCCTGTTTGTATTCGTGGAAGTCGACTCACATTAAAGCTGACATTTGCTCAGGTGTTATTATTTTTAATCCAAACTGTGCTAGAGGAGCAAAATCACGCAGCTAAAAAATAATCAGTGCTGATAAACAGAAACCAGACATATGAAGTGTATGAATGGTGGATGATCTCCTGAGACCTGTCAAGTGAAGTCATGTTTCAGAGTAAACTCATGTGTTTTCTCTCCTCAGTCACTGCACAGTGCTGCAAGCAGAGTGGGGAGGTGTTCGGCAGGGAGGTGACCATCGTTGACACTCCCGGCCTCTTCGACACCTCATTACCTGATCACATCGTGAAGAGGGAGATCTCCAAATGCATCAACATGTCGGCCCCAGGGCCCCACGCCATCCTGCTGGTCATCAAGATGGGACCCTTCACACAAGAGGAAAGAGATGCTGTGGAGAAGGTGGAGGAGATCTTTGGAGACGGTGCCTGGAAGTACACAATGATCCTCTTTACACTGGACGGTGAAACTGGACTGGACATCCAGAGTGAGCTGGATGAGGCTGGGCCTGAACTGAAGGAGGTCCTGCAGAAGGCCCAGAACAGATACCACGTCTTCAACAACAGCCAAGCTGATGATCGTGGTCAGGTCCTGGATCTGCTGGAGAAGGTGGAGAGGATGGTGGCTGACAATGGAGAAGAGTTTTACTCCAACTACACCTACAAGCAGGTGGAGGAAATGTTGAAGCAGAGAGAGTCGGAGCTCAGAGAGTTCTTCAAGAAAGAAATGCAGGAGAAAATAAAAGCTGTGGAGTTAAAGTACAAGAAGCTGATGGAGGCTCAGAAGGAACAATCAGGCATGAAGAGACGATGTCAGGCTGAAGTGCAGGAAGTGAAGCGCTTTTTCAAAGCTTTAGATGTCCGCCATGTTGTAGAGCAGACTGTGGAAACAGACACCATGGATGACATTCAGAAGTTTCACATGACCCTAAAACTAAAGTTTACCCCTTAACCTCTTCTGCAACCTCATGGCTTCATTCTTAGAAACTCCACACTGTTCCTCAATGTTTCTTGTTCATAATTCAAATGCCAACACCATTTTTCCATTGGAAAAGAAAAATAATCCAACAATTGGAAGCTTCCTCATGACCCGAGTGTTTTGGGTTCATCAGGAGAAACATGTCTACATGTGGTTCATAAAAAGTGCTTAGTAATTCTGGTATAGAGCTTTTGTCACTGTCAGTCTTGTAAGTCATGTATCTGTATACTGACCTGGTAAAGGTAGTATCCCCTCTGCCAGATAACCAGCAACAAGCTCATTCACTTCCTTCAGAAGGACACCTTTAACTGAAATGTAGTCAGTATATTTTCTGAGGAATGGCACTGGTATTTGCTAAATTCATAGAAAACTATGAGAAAGATGGTTCCTGCCAAAACATCAGCGCTTTATCTCAAATATGTAGGAAAAATAGTTGTTTTTTGGGGCATTCTGTAGGAAAGTAATGATTATCTACCTCTGCCTCTGTCAGTGCGCCCCAGGGCGGCTGTGGCTACAATGTAGCTGCCATCACCAATGTTTGAATGGGTGGATGACTGGATGTGTAAAGCACTTTAGGGTCCTTAGCGACTAGTAAAGCGCTATATAAATACAGGCCATTTACCATTTAAAAATATAAAACTGTAAAAGTGGTGGGGAGGGTGGGTGGGGATCTTAGGCATGGCAATGCTCCGGGGTGGTGTGGTTGCAGGGCCCATGGTGGGGTGTGGGAAATACGGGTCCTCACTGAGCGGGTTATTAGAGGATTACTACCAGAAGGATCCAGCTATCTCCCAGTCTTAAGCACCCTGCCGCCCTCCACTTCCTCAAACAACATCTCATCATCATTTGGGTGCTCACATCACATCTGCCCCCTGAATCTTAATAACACTCTAGTTTACATACAGTCATACACAATCTTTTCACCTCATCGATGCACACATGCACCCAATATATCACTTACAACACTGACGAGTGGGAGTGGGAAGGTCTTCCTAAACGCTTGTATCCTGCACTCTGCATTTGTATGTGACACAAACAGAACGGTGGAGGACATTAAGCTGATGATATACCTGCTGCTAAACCTTTTTGTTGTTGTTTGGGGTGGGCTCAGATAAGTATTGATAGGTTTCTTGCTCCATTCAGCAAATTGACCTGTCATATTTGCCATAATCTACACGTTCAGTTAAATTTTGCTGAAACATAAATCATGCTGGAATAAAGCTCAAATATGTGATATGAAATATGTGGATTTTATTAAAAATACAGAGATCTCTAAAGTATTTGCATATTTTTACTGCTCAGTCATCATTCTCAGCATCACTGTATAACTATAGTAAAATCTATGAAATAAAGATGTGTGTAATCACTAAATGAATATGAACTAGAGATGGACCGATCCGATATTACGTATCGGTATCGGTCCGATACTGACCTAAATTACTGGATCGGATATCAGGGAGAAATAAAAATGTGATCCAATCGATTAAATATCACAAAACCACCTCACAAAACTTGCGACACGGCGTAACTCGGCTCATAACCGAAGCACGTTGGAGCAGTGTGCTCACATGATAGAGCAGCTGTGTGTATTTGTAGCCTCACCAGCATTTCATCTCTGAGGAAGTGATCCCAGAGAGAAGTAAACCAAGTGTGTAAGTTCATCTCTGAATATTTGTAAAGCATTCCGGCGTTAAGCTTAACAACTGATATATGGAGCGACTGCCTCTCTCTCTCTCTCCTGCTGCTACTTCAATCATGAAACTGATCAATGATCAGCTGATCGTCTCTCTTCTTAGTCTTTGGCCCACTTCTCACCAGAAAGAGGAAACCAGCGGCTGAACAACAGCAGAACGTTTAAGCTTGATAAGCTGTTGTTAGAATGTATTTAATATTACTTTCTACACCAGGATCTTTTTCTACGTAGCTGACGCTGGTAACTGTGCAGGGGCGGAGCTAGCAAAGTTTAGCCAGGGGGGCCGATAGGGCATGAACAGGGAAAAGGGGGCACAAAGACATACTTTTCTTTCTTATTCTCATTTAAAATGTCGAGCTTTTAATAAATAATTATCTGACACCCAAAGTTTTAATCTGATGTAAAATATATAGAAGTCCATTACTGTATATAGTAACTGTTAAGTCTAATATACCCTAGTAAGCTATAGTACTTTTTACTTTGGGAAGGTACCATCTGTGCAGTTCTGTTGAAGAAAGATGTTGAATCTGTTTAATTATTCTTGAAAAATAATTGATTTCTGTGAATTTTCTTTTACATGCATTAAATTAAAGTTGATTACGTCGATTAAGCATCACGAAGCGGAGGTTGGGGGGGGTCCCTATTTCTTTTTTTTGTGGGGCGTTTTCAACCCTATTAGTTAGGTTGCTTAATATTTCTGCTAAGTACTCTTTCAAATACCAGAATAGGGAGGATGGAGCAGGTTTAAGTTTATTAGATTGATCAGTTTTGCTGAACTATGAAATATTTTGGGTGTAGTGTATTTTTTTTTTTTTTACATACAGGTATAACTGAGTAGCTTTAGAGTTGTTGTTTATTTAAACTTGAGTATGAACTTATACAAAATGCAGCAAGATATTAAAAAAAACAGTTAAAAAACACTATCGGATTCATATCGGTATCGGCAAATATCAAAATTTATGATATCGGTATCGGACATGAAAAAGTGGTATCGTGCCATCTCTAACATGAACGTTGATGCTTTCTTTCTCTCTGAGTTCTCACTTCTACCTGCTCCAGGCTCCTCCTTGGACACATAACTTCCTACCACTGTTAGGAATAAAAGAAATATTTTTAATGTGTATCTGCTCATTAGATTGTTTTATGTACTTTAATAATGAAGGCTTGTAGAGCAAGGCCACCTTTGACTCACAAACTAAGTGCTCAGCCAGACTGAAAAACAGGAAGTTTTAGTGCACAGGCCTATTAATAGATAAAGACCCAGAAAAGAGGAACTTTTCATATAAGCAATGTTTGAGACTGTGACGTGTAAAGTACCAAAATAAAACCTATATGAGGCACAGTTTATGATTCTAATGTTAGAGATCCTGCAACTGGCGTTTGGGCTGTGCAGAGGTCTCTCTTCCGGAAGATGATTAAATAAAAAGAAATATAAATGTTACAACACACTATGAGTCGGTTTCCTCTGTTCTGTCATGGGGACAAAAGAATCGGGGTTAATAGTCTTCAAGCACAAGAGTGATCAAAGCTGAACATCAGGTCCAAACATCACAGAGCAGAACCAAACAGTCAAACTGTTAAAGGAGGAAGCAAAGCAAACTTACAGTTTCTTCACACACACCAACAACAAACTCCACTCCACAGCTGGCCAGTAAACATAGACACACAGGTGAGCTGCTCCTTACTGGAAGAAGGCGGGACTGCACCTGAAGACTGTGAGAGGGCCACACCTTCATGTGCTGGTTTACAAATATGTGGTCAGACTGGCTCAGAGTGAACAAACTGATCACAGCTCGTCTCTGATACAACCACAGTGTTTACTTTGTTTGGAGTATAAATCTTTATACTGCAAATATGTTCATCATGTTTCTCTGATTCCAGTCTGTAGATCCAGTCACACTTTCTACCTTCAACTGTGCAGTAAGGACTGAGAGCAGAGCTGAAACCAACCGTCCAATTAGACTCTGCTGTTGAACATGTTATGTAAATGAAATGATGTAAATATCAAAACATGGAGGATGATTTTCTACCACAATGCACATTTTTCCATGTAAATGGAGGCTCGAGGCGGCAAGCGGCAGACTGGAAATGAGCCGGCTCCTGTATACCACTCACACCGCTGTCAGACATCAGCAGCATCGGGTTTCCTGTCTGTTTCCTGCTCCTCTATGAGAGTTCCCAGTTCAAGGGCTACTGGGAGCACTGGTTTGATACCAGCCACCACTTTGGATACTATTGTCATGGGACGTAATATTTTCACAGACTAACATGATCTTTAATGACTGCTGGTTGGGGGTACACACAGTAATGCTACCATTGTTAGCAAATTACTTTCAACGATTCATTTCAGTTTTATTTATACAGGACCAAATCACAACCGTCGCTTCAAGGTGTTTTATATTGTAGGGGGAAACCCTCAGAGCTTTTGTAGTGGCTCAGCATGGAGAACAGAATCACAGCTCACAATGATTTCTAATGTGAGCTCCAGTGCCGGCTGTGATCAGCTGACCTGCTGCTCTTTGTTCATTTAAACAGATGTTTCACAGCTAGCTTGGCTAATTTCATCCCCTACGCTGACAGCACACTATCAAATCTTTATACTAGACAGGAGAACGTTGGTATATAGATTAAACTGAGTGAATCATACCATACCAACTTTATTTCTAAAGCACTTTAACATAAAACCAGAGTTTCACAAAGTGCTGTACATGTTAATAGCATACGTAAAGAAAATTAAAATGAGATACGATAAAATAAATAGATAAAATAAATTGAAACATGTTAAAACAAATTGAGTCAACCCCTCTAATCAATGCCAAAGGCTTCAGGAATAAATATGTTTTAAGAAGACTTTTAAATTCAGAGAGAGAAGAGGCCTGCCTAACATGCAAGGGTAGATCATTCCACAACTTTGGAGCAGCTACAGCAAAAGCACGATCACCTTTAAATTTATACTTAGTTTTTGGTACGTTAAGGAGCTGCTGATTGGCGGACCTAAGGGAACAGGCAGGTGTATATGGTTGTAGTAGCTCCGAGAGGTAAGGGGGGGGCCAGGCCATTAAGAGATTTAAAAGCAAATAAGAGAATTTTAAAAACAATCCTAAAACGTACATGTGTACTCATTAAAAAAAAAGGAATCAATCTAAGCTTTATCAGCTGAAATGAAACAAATCTCTGCCACACTTGATGTAACTGAACTCTGGCCATGAGCACCAGTCCAACACAGCGCTTTACTAAACACTTTAAGGCTCATGTAGCCCCATTATTTTATATTGCACAG